ACAATGTCTTAATGTTAAGTACAGTGTTACTTCTTTGAAATACAGAATTCAGAAGTCCTTGACTACTTGAGTTGAAAGGAAGGACAATCTACCCATCTATCTCATTGCATTTAAATCTATATCCCCCGATTTTTCTAAAATTTCATATAGTAGTTAGTTTAATATTTTAAAATTCTAGTTAGAGATTTCCGAAAATCATGAGAAGGAAGCAAAGGGAACAAGCATTTGGAAGGTATGATAGCATTATATAAAGGACAACCACTTTTTCTTAAATTTATTTACTGAAAGGAAATTTCTGCATAAGCTTTTTAGCAGACCGAGCACACAAAATTTAAATTTTTAGTAATGAGTAATAACTATTTATGAAACCAGGAAGATACTCCATTACAGAGCTGGGTGTGGCTGTATACAACTGTAGTCCCTGCTACTAAGGAGGCTGAGGCAGCGTTACGCCAAGTCAGAGGCCAACCTGAGCAACTTGACGAGATGCCATCTCAAATCACAAGCAAATGAAATCACACCCCTTCCCAGGTAAGGGAAAACAAAATTCACATGCTGGGCTTCTACTATATGTCAAATACTTATAAAAATTGTCTCACAGTTGTTTTGTGTGGGTACATTATTACTGTAAAGACAGAGAAACTGATTCTCATACAGGTTTAAATGAATGTGCTCAAAGATACTCCTTGGGTTAGTGACAGAGTAGGGTTTCTAGCTCTGAAACACACAAGCTTTATTAGGGCACACTTTCTAAAAGCTGACTTCTCAGGAAAGAAAACATTTTGAAAAATTACAAAAACCATCCTCTATGTGGCTTGCTTCCTGAGTAAACAAAAAATTAACCTATACTGTATAAAAATACAAAGGGCATTAAAACAACAACAACAGGGTTTAGCAAGAGTGAGAACTCTGAACACTGGACTTTCAAAATGCAGTCACAATGCTCAGGACCAGTCGACCACCATCTAAACGAGTCTACTACACAAATTCAAGCTACCACCAGGGCCTTTCACTACTCTCCTCTACATCCCACATTTTCTGTCTCCATACAGATAACAGAATACACTTGTTCAAAACGGATAACCTTATCTCACACCCAGCAGCATCACAGTATAAACACCCATGAGGCCAATATTTACTGAACACCTGGTATGTCTGACGTACTTGTAGTGGTGACAGCTGGTTTCCCACAAAAGCCACCTTTTCCCTCTTCCTTTTCAATGAACCACAGCTTCTCAAAAGAAAACAATGTGCTGAGCTCTACCTTGTATTTCCTGACTTTCTTTGTATCTAGAGTTGGCCACATGACAAAATGTTGGCCAGGAAGAAATAAGCAGAAGCTCTCGGTTATTTGAGTGGCACGTTAACATGTGATAAAGCAAGTCAGGCTGCACTTGGTCCTTCCCATTCTCTCTGCCAAGACTGAACAGGATAACCGGAGATTTGTATTTATCTCTCCATAAAAGGATAAGGACCCACACTAGAAAAGATGTAATGGACAGCAGGGCGTTTTACTGCCTAAGGACACTGTGAAGCAGTGCTTTAGCTTTGGACTGATCCATCTTTTAAAGTAAAAGAAAAATAAATCCCCTCCCTATTTAATCCACTGTCCTTTGACTTTCCTGATTACATGAAAATAAATCTTTACAACGTTTGAGTCTTTTTTTAATGATGGGAACTTAAAATATTTTCTTGATGCAACATGACTACTTAGATGAACAGGTAAAATCTCTCTCATACACACACACTCACTTTGCTGCTTACAACTACTTTCTACATAAAATGTTTTCTATTCTAGACATATAGGAGTTGGTGGAGGTGCAGAGGAACATAAAAGGATTTGCCTAAGCTAATTCCAGACTTAAACTTGAATGATAATTATACAAACCATAAGGCAATTACATTAACATATTAGCTTCAGGAGGTAACACATATCCAGAGGAAATTCACTGGAAGTCACAAGACCTAGATTCTATTCCTAGCTTTGCCAGTGACCTTCTGGGTGACCCTGCATAAGTCATTCAACACTCAAGAGACTCAATCTTCTCACTCGCAAAAACAAAAAAAGGAAAGAAAGAAAAAAAAGGAAAACCCACAACCTAGTAGTTATCTGAAAAAATGTTATAAAGTAAAAGATTCATTTAGTGTGGTCCTTCAGGGATGTGATAAAACCTTCTTCACTAACATTCTGAATCACTGGATTCAAGAAAATGAGATCCTTATAGAATTATAGGGCATCAAAATTTTTTTCCAATTTACTTAATAGAGTCTACCGATACTTTCTCCCTCAAAGATCAAACTTTTCTATTATAAAGCAAATCGATACCAGGTTAAATCAATGTTCAAAATTTAAATTCCTAACCACTCAAGAAGACCGTAGGGACATTTTGGTCCAAAACACTGGCAGACATAAATAACAAACAAAACCTGTTGTTTATTGAGCACTTATTTTTAAGTTGTTTTTTATTTCAAAGAGAATAAAACAAAACAAAATAGAACAAAGTAAATCAGAACAGAACAATGCAAGCAACACAGGACTTCACAACAAGACAACAGCATATCAACAGTGGCAATCGTAATGCCTCTTCTTTTCTTCAAAATAGTTGACCTTCACACAGAGTAGTATCAAACCTAACAAAATAGTATAAAACCAGACAAAAGAATGAAAGCATCATAGGACTTCAAAACCAGAGAACAGGAAATGAACAACAAAGCATTTTCTGAAAAGCTGTTGGCCTTTCAAATGATTAGGATTTTAGTTGGTAAATAACCCTGTAAGAACCACTGTTCAGGATAAGTAAACTTTATCCAAGCCTTATAAGAAAAGCACCTTCCTTCTTTGAGAAAGAAGATAACCCTCAAATACTCTGAAAAAATGCTTGTATTTATCATAAAGATCACTTTAAAATATTGTAAGAAAACAAGTTAATTACAAGTGCGGAATAATTTCCTATCTTGAAAGAAAAAAAAATTAGCCATGGTGTGATCAGAGCAGATGGACTTTTTTAGTCAGAAAAGCATATAATTCTTTCTTTTAAAAAAAAGTGAGAAAAATATCCAATTCCTTAAGTAAAAGATACTCAATTTTTCAGAACAAAATGAATAGATAAAAGGATCCTTAAGGGTTAAAATATTAGGTGAGACAGCTAGCATAAATGCTTTCGCCAAACAATGATGAGCATTTATTGATTCTACTTACTGAAAAAGAGTAACATGGAGTTGGAAATTTGATTCATATAAATATAATGAAAACCAGAAAATGTATTTTTTTAAAAATCACAGTAATGTGTCAATTTAATATCAAAGATAATCATGACTTTTAGACTAATCTGTTTACTACTTGGCAGTAAATGCTAAAAGTTATTTTCTAGTCAAATTTTACTCCTATCAATTTCCCCTACATAAATGCTCAAAGTCCTTGAAAATGGTAGCATCTATTTCTATTGTTTTATATGTCTGAGAAAAACCAAGCAGTTAATTAAATATTTTACTATAACCATAAAAACATAAAATGTAGTATTGGTTCACACAATTACAGACATAAATGTAACTTAAGAAATCTTTTATTGAAAATTTCTCAGTTGTTCCTGTACAGACATAGATGTAAAAACTCTGAGAGTTTAAGCGATTTGCTGAAGGTCACACAGCTATCAAATGATACGATTTCTTTCCATCATACTAACACATCATCACTAAAAAAAAAACACACGATGACAGTTTCTTAGTCTATTTAAATTGCAATATGAACTAGAGAAAAGAGTATTCAAATATAAGAACACAAATTTGAAACATGTTAACATGTTTCCAAAGAGCTTCTATTGTCATTATTAATGAAAGTCCAATTCAAAATAGAGAATCAAAAGCAAAGCAAAATATTTTTCATTAAACTTGCTTAAGAGAAAAGCATCAAGAAAGATAAAGAACACATGTTGGCAAAATTACCATACAGTTATTTCGGTGCCAAGTTAAATGTCCCTAGTAGATAGTTAACTGAACAAAAATAAACTGAAATTTAAAAATTAAAAACAATAAAAAAGAAACACTTCTTTAAAAAGAAACCTTAATTGTTCAATCTGTCATGTTTCAAGTAAATTAAAACATGACCTTTGACTTAACGGAATGCACTGTTAACTATTAACAGTTAACTATTAAAAGTCAAGTTTAGAAATAAACATTAGAGCTTCCAGTGCCTCCAAAACCATTCAGAATACGTACTGGAAAAAACTGTGCTTTAAAACACTCATATTCTGTGCAAAAGATATGATTATTTAAGGAGTTTAACACAATGTCTCTTTTCTGGTGTATTTGCAAAAGAGGTTTACTATGGCTAAGTTGCATGGTGTATATTTCACCTTATAAAATGAAATGCAACAAGTAAAACAGGAAAGTAATCTTAACAAAAAACTACTAAACACTTTTCATACAAGAGATTGATTACATTAATAATTAACAGAGAGTGTTTTCAGGGGGGAATTAAATGGAAAGTTTTTCTTAATTAAGCAGAAAGAAACTCAGTAGAAATGAGTATTACCTGATGATAATAAACTGGTGCCACATGTTTGAAAAGTAAAACATTATATAGTGCATTTAAGAGTAAAAACATGGATACATTACAAATTATGTTGAAACAAAGAAACCATTCTTTAACAAACAAATATAAATCATAATAGCTGTAAGATTTCCTATAGACATAAAGGCAAATAGGCCTGCGGGGACAGTATGAGAAAATAAAAGGAAAATTAAAAGCTTGTAAATACAATCTCTACATCACAACGACCTGAACTTTAGAAAGAAGTTTTTTACATGCATGTTTTTACTACAGTGATGGTCTGAAACAGCATTTTGTTACATTACAGTAATACATCTTGTAATTATCCATGGCTTCAAAGCATTATAGTCTATCTCAAGGATACAAACGTGTCTAACATTAATAAGCACACAGTAATGGGAAAAAAGAACAGCAAGAAATCAAAAGAAAAAAGACAAAAGAAGTCACATACCCTTTTCTGTAGAACTATTGGCGTTATTGCAGGCAGAGTGACTCTTCTCGCACTCAAACTCATGCCTGCTTTTCCTACAGATCTCCTCTGGTAGATCGGGGACGAAATGAAAGAAATCTTTAACACTTACTCCTTGGGAATCTCAAGGCTAAGCGCAAAGAAACAACTAGGGAGGCAATAAATGTCACCCTGCTTATGTGATTTCAATCTACCCAAAGCCAATTAAGGATGGCTACAGGACAGGACAAGGCAGCAACCAATCAAAGCCCAGAAAACCCTGCCTTTGTCCTTGGAACCACATTCTGATACTTTTGTTTATGATATTTAAAGAACCAGATTAACAGGCATCTAGTTTGCTTAACTTTTTTTTCCAAAACAGTGCAATTCAATGCCATCTTTGTTGACTAGGCAGTTACGTTTTCACTAAACCGTTTCAACATATGGCAGATAAAAAACTATTTACATTGGTCTACTTAAAATATACAAATATATAAATGAGCTGAAGTTATTTATGCTATTTATAAAATAAATGGGTAAACTAGAAAATATTACACCAGTTATAAATATTCTGTAGAACTGATATAAACTGCTAACTTATCAATCAGAAGATTTTTAAATACATATTCCTATATTTCATATCTCAAGCAGCTACAAATTTTATATTATGGACATTTCAACTAGCCTTGAGGTCACACACTAGTAAATATTATCTAGTAAATATTACCCTAACACTTAAGCTAAAAAAATGTTAAGTATAAAAAATATTAAACTATCATATCTGAATAGTAAACACACGTTTTGAAACACGTTTTCTATATTTCTGTGTAATTTAACGCATTTTATTCACTTAAAAATAGTTACCGCCCAAAGCTATCTTAAACCTTTTATAACCACTTTGCATTTTGGAAGTTGGTGGTGAAGATATATAGTTATTATAAAAAGCACAAACAGAAATGGCAAATAAATAAATGAAAAATGTTCAACATCACGGGTCATTCAAGAGATACAAATTAAAACACACTGAGATTCTACCTCACCCCAGAAAGAATGGCTATCATCAAGAAATCAATCGATAACAAATGTTGACTGGGCTTGGGGAAAAAGGAACCCTTTTCCACTGTTGGTGGGAGTGTAGACTGATGCAATCACCGTGAAAATCAGTATGGAGAGTCCTCAAAAAACTAGGATTAACTGGGGTTAGCTCAGTGGCACAAGTTACTACTTGACAAGTGCAAGGTCGTGAGTTCAATCCCTGGTTCCACCAAAAAAAAAAAAAAAAAAAGAAAAGAAAAAAAAACCCTAGGATTAGATGTCCCATTCCATCTACATAGTCCTCTTCTGGGTATGTTCCCAGATGAATGAAAAGTATCATAACACGGTAATATATGTGCACCCATGTTTATAGCAGCACAATTCATAATAGCTAAATTTTGAAAACAACCAAATGCATACAATGGAGTGCTATGCAGCCATAAAGAAGGATAAACTTGAGACTTTTATAGATAAATGGGTGCAATTTGAGACCATACTCATAAGTGAAATAAATCCACATATGTAAACATTGTCATTGTCCCCTGGTGTGAGAAACTAAAAGTGTAAATAAGTTCTAAAACATACAGTGGATATTGTGAAATGGGAAGAGATTTTTCAACAGGAAAAATGAACTAGGATGAGTGAAAGGGAATTAGCACAATAGAGAAAAAGGAAAAAACGCAAATCAGTTATACTATTAGCACATCTTAGTTCACTGAAAAGGTTTGTACTATCAACTGGAGAAATTTTTATGCCCATATCGTGCAGCCTAATTAACTACTTTAAAGATAAAAATATGTAATGTGTTATGATTGTTATTCTATTTTGTTATGAAATCTTGTTTTATCTTTTTTCCATAATATAAAATTTTAAAAATATTTTTTAAAAATATAAACAGATCTATTTTAGGAGCATTAATTTAATCCTTATCCAGGTAGGTTTATTATGGTCTTTTCTTTTCTCCCTTCCACGTATCTCTCCTCCCTCCTTTCTCTTTTTTCCTTTCCCTTCCTCTTTTCTTTTTAGAGAATGGGTCTAACTATGTAGTTCAGACTGGCGTTGAATTCACTTTGCAGCACAGGCTGGCCTCAAACTTGCAGTGATCCTCCTGATTCAGCCTCCTATGTGCTGAGATTACAGAGCATACACCACCATGCTGTTTCTTTCCTTTCTCTGAGACAGTCTCACTATGTTAGATATGCTGACTTGAATGCCCAATATCCTTCCTTAGCCTCCCAAGTGATTGTGATCATAGTCACAGGCTATCCTCATAGTCTTTCCAAAGGAAGTTGTCAAGAAAAATCTATTTATTTAAGAATGAGTGGTTACCATACGTGGAGTAAGAGATCCTAGGCTAACAGCCTAAATACTAATGCTTATAATAACTGTATAATTTCAGTATTATCTATGTTTAACTTTTTCTGTCTTCTCTTGTAAACTTAATTTTGAATATTACAAAATATTATCTCAAATCTCCACCACAATCAAAGCCATTTACTTCACTAAATCATGAAACAAGGAACTATGTGCAACCACTCTGTTAAACAGCAGACATACACTTTTGCATACTATTGGTTACTATCTCATAATAGTTTTTAAATTAAAATATACTTGACGTGATTTGACATTCATAGTGATTAAAGTCAAAGTATCAGAGATACACCATGGAAGGAAAAAAATTATATACTGGTATGAAATCAGAGCATTTTTCAAGCAGGAAATTACATTTGAAATTACATTTCAAGTGAAAAGTGATTAGGAAGGAAAAAAACACATAATTTGAAAACTGATGTGAATATAAGTGAAAGCTTCAAAACTGACTTCAAGATTTTAAGGGTGATCAAGAAGTTAGAAATGCTTTATAGCACACTTTTTGAGACTGCTAAACACTATAATTAATCCTTCATGTCAAAGCAGTGGCCAGGCCCTATATCTATCATTACACCTGCCTACAAGGGCTTAAAAAAAATCTGTCACCTGACTGCCGAAGGGTGATAGGTCATCTTCTTGGAACACATGGATATTGGAGTTTTTAAGTTTTCAGTGAAAAACATGAAGAACAAAATTTGGCCTTTTGTAACTCTGTCACCAAAACAGTCACTGTCTTTGAAAAATGAAACTCACATTTACTTCCCCAGCCCACAGACTGCAAGACTAATGAGATGACGCGCACTCTTCAGACAGGTGGAGTCTCAGTTTTCAGTAATCCTTTTCAGGTGTTCCTACCAACTGCGTTTCATCTTGCTCCATAGTTATTTTAGACACTGATTCAAAATTTAAGTTTAGCCTGTCCTTTTTTTATTATAAGTGATATTGTCACTCACTAACCTTGTCATCTGAGCCTTCATTTTCTTCAGCTGCAAAAAGGAATTTAAAAAAAACTTTCACAATTGCTGTGAATATCAAGGAAATAAAGTTTGTGTAAGACTTGGTACAGACCAAGGCAGATGCTGATAAACTACTGTTTATATTCTTTCTACAGAGAGAGTGGCCAGGGATACAGTCTCCTTAGGCAGGTCTTTCATCTCCAAAAGTGATATTTTGACAGGAGAGGGATTTTGTCATTTTATAAGGTCAACAATGTAGTATTATAAAATAGGACTGAACATTATTTTGATTTTTCCTTAATATTTTGGTAGAACAAATTTTGCTAAAGTGTATGCATATCAATGTTTAAACTGAGAACAGCAAAAACAGCTATCATCATAGTAAACAATAACAATATTTGGTGAACATCCAATGAACAAGTCACCAGACCCAGTTTCATTTACCTCTCACAACTATAAGACAGGCACTAGCTGTTCAACAGATGCCAAAACTAACTCCAGAAAAGCAGACACCTAAGAAATGGTGTGAAAGATGACTGCACACTGCAAAATTACCTCCCTGAGTTCATGACTGTCATAAGTGCATAAGCCAGGGTAAAAACTCCATTTGAACCTCTTCAAGACACTGCAATATACCACTTTACAGTCTTCTTTCCCATACTACACTACACAGTTTGTGGTAACTTTAGCATGAAATGTCAACTTCATCTAGCCCTTATTTCTGATGTACCTAAGCAGTTGTTTGTACAATTAAGCCACTTAACAAATATGGATTTAGGGCCTTATAAAGTGAGGCCTATTTTGTGTACTTTAGGAAACTTTATAGTTAATCAGCTCCTAATTTCTGCTTACTAAGGGATCTGACTCATGGCAACATGTTAGCAATTAGTCACAGTACTGTTGGAAGTCAGATCTGGGCAGAAGAGGAATACCACTTACGCACCAGCCAATCTCTGTCTAGTTGCAAACCCATCTCTCAAGCTTCACTCAACTTCAACTAAAGCTCTTGCAGCTCTCATAAACAAGTTCTGCATTTCCACCTCTTTGCTTATAATTGTCACTAGTTCACTAAAAACCATAAACCTTTCACGGTCTAATCAAAGCATATCTCCTTGAAAGTTTCATTTTTCATTTACATCCTTCAAGGCACTCTCCTTTTTATAACATAACCTAACTTAAATTGAAAGATACAGAAGGAAGGAGAGACAAATCAACTGCCTACCAACTGTAAGGCATTCTATAGGCTATTTTAATGTATTCAAATAACCAGGCAAAATACCTATTATTTAATCACATTTTACAAATTCAAACAATATCTACTCTTTTATATTATCAGTTTAATTTTCATTAAACAGCCCTTAATGGAATTTCAGTTAATGTCTCTTATACTGTGACTTTATATAATTTTGCATGCAGGCTGCTTGAGGCAGAGGTACAATCCATTTGCTCTCTGACCATCATATAATCTCTATCCTGTGGGTTCATACAAGAAAGCAAATTAAGTATAAGGTAAAAGAATGTTTGTTGATTACCAAATATCATAAATCTTTTTTATTTAGCCTACCACTCTCCCGCCTTACATAAGACATACTTCCCTCTGGCCTTTCATCTACTCTACACACCGTGTCACTACGCTACACATTCTAGGCAGCTCAAAGGATATCCAGGTTCACTGCATCCCTCAAAGACTTAGATCCAAATTCACTCGACCAGGAAGTCACCCTTCCA